TTTTTCTTTTCTTTTTTCTTTTTTTAAATTTGAGACAGGGCCTTGCTGTGTTCAGGCTGGCTTTGAATTCACTCTGTAGCCCAGGCTGGCCTTGAACTCCCAGTGATCCTCCTGCCTGAGCCTCCCGAGTCCTGGGCGGGCAGGCGTGTGCCCCTTGCCCAGTGTAAAGGCCCTCTCTCTCATGCTAATACCGTACTCACAGTGGGTTTCCGGGGGTGGGAAGGGGGATAAGCGGGATCCCTCTGGCTGGGAGTCCACACACAGGCCCTGGAGCAGGCCGGGGACCCCTGGGCCCCCTTCACCACTCACGACTGTTGCCACCCTGCAGATGATTGTGCTGCAGTCCCTGCATAAGTACCAGCCCCGGCTGCACATCGTGGAGGTGACCGATGGCGAGCCCGAGGCCGCCTGCACCGCAGCCAACGCGCACACCTTCACCTTCCAAGAAACGCAGTTCATCGCCGTGACCGCCTACCAGAATGCAGAGGTGACCTGGGCTGGAGTCTCCGGTGAGAGGGATGTGGGAGAGTGCCAGACTCAGGGCTCAGGTGACCCTCTGTCCCCTCTCTCTAGATCACACAGCTGAAGATTGATAACAACCCCTTTGCCAAAGGATTCCGGGAGAACTTCGAGTCGTAAGTGCCATTGGTCACTTTGGGTCTGGGAAGGGACATGCGGTTCTCGGCTGCATGGTGACCAGTTCTGCTTGTGACCCCTGTGTTCTTTTTTTTTTTTTTCTGCTGGAACCGGGTGTTGAACTCAGGCCCTTGCACTTGCCAGGCAAGCACTTATCCTACTGAGCCATCTCCCCGGACCCAACCCTTACATTCTTGCTTCCCATTCTTTCTAGCATGTATACGTCTGTCGACGCCAACGTGCCCTCTCCACCTGGACCCAACTGCCAACTGCTCGGGGGAGATCCCTACTCCCCTCTCCTCTCCAGCCAGTATCCCGTCCCCAGCCGCTTCTACCCTGACCTCACCGGCCAGCCCAAGGATGTGGCTTCACAGCCCTACTGGCTGGGCGGCCCCCGGGACCATGGCTACGAGACGGACTTCCGTGGTGTCGGCATGAAGCCGGCCTTTCTGCCCTCGGCGCCTGGACCGGCCATGCCCTACTACCGCAGCCAGGAGGTCCTGGGCCCCGGGGCCGGGTGGCCCGTGGGCCCACAGTATCCCCCAAAGGTGGGTCCGGCCAGCTGGTTCCGCCCTATGCGGACTCTGCCCATGGAACCTGGCCCGGGCATGCCAGAGGGCCGGGCCCCGGACGAGCAGGACTCTCCGTCCCTGTGGACTGAGGTCACCCCTCTCCGGCCAGAGCCCTGTGACTCAGGCCTGGGTGAAGGAGACTCTAAGAGGAGACGGGTGTCCCCCTACCCTTCCAGTGGCGACAGCTCGTCCCCTGTGGGGGCCCCATCTCCTTTTGATAAGGATGCAGAAAGCCAGTTTTATAACTATTTCCCCAACTGAGCAGAGAGTGCAAAGCCGGGAAAGGACAGATCTGGTGTTGTTAGATCTGAGGCTACCGAGTCACCTGGGAGACAGAACCCAGGCAGAAAGGCCCCCTCCCTCGCTGCTGTTCTCCTGTAGTGATGACTGGGGGTGGGGTGGGAGGGAGGCCAAGGATTCTGGGGTTCGTTTGCTGCATCCTGGAGTGTCACTGCTCCGTCACCTACCCAGACTGAAGCCACCTCTGCCGTGGAGAACAGAGATGGCCATGCCAGGAGGCCTGGGACGCAGGGAGCCAGGAAGGGGCTGGGCCCCGGCCACCAGCTCTCGTCCTCCACGTGGGGCAGCTCCAGGGAGGTTTCCATGTGTGTGGCTGATCTGAAGGAAGACACACAGACTCTGCAACGGTCAGCCAGCCAGCGCCAGGGAACAGCCTGAGACTGTGGGGAGCTGGCCGGGCCCCCTTAGGGGACAGGACCCCGGTGAGCAGAGGAGGGGGCTGGCAGGCCAGGGGTCTCGGTTGTACATGTGTGCTTCTTTCTTTTCTTTCTCCTTTTTCTTTTTCTGAATGGGGGAGGCTATTTATTGTGCAGAGAGTGTTGTCCGGGTGCTTTTCTACTATCCCCATCACTTTCTGGAAATAAACGTCAAACTGTTGCGTGTGCCCTGATTCCCTGCCGGTGCAGGGGGCCGGGAACTCATCTGGGGGTTGCTGGTGTCTGCTGTTATTGGGGAGGGGGTTTGCAGAAACCGGAAGTGGCCTTGTTCAGGGGTAAGCTGAGTCAGTGAACCTGCACATCCTACAGTCAGGGAGATGGCAAAGGCCACCTGTTAAGGCTCCGGGACAGAGGTGACCCTCGTCCTGTGTGTGCTCCCTGAGCTGGGGGGGGGGGGCTTGAGGACAAAGCCAGGCCCGGCTAGGAGGCTACAGGCTGATGTGGGGAGCAACAGCCCATGATCCTCTGTGTAGCTACAGCACCCTGTGTCCGCCACTAGAGCTGTCCAAGGATTAAAGGTGTACATGTAAAGAACCCTGTGACGTGGTCATGTTTGTTGTTTTGAGGCAAATTCTCACTGTGTACTTCAGACTGGCCTCAAACTTACAATGTAACACGGGCTGGCCTCAGAGCAATCCTTCTGCCTCAGCCTCCATGTGCTGGGATTACAGGTGTGTGCTGCCACAGTCCCCTAGACAAAAAGGAAAGGGAGTTGTAGGGCCGGCCAGATGGCTCAGTGGACTAAAGCTCCGGCTCAGGCAGGTGCAGGGACCAGAGCTGGGTGCTCGGGAGGCTGAAAACAGGAAGGAGGATCACTACGAGTCCAATCTATGTAGTAAGACCCTGTAGAGCCTGTACTAATACATAAAAAGATACCATAATTACTTATATATTCCTCCATCTTATTGCCTGTCTTCCTTTCAGAAAACGTACCCTGAAAATTGCATTTATTATTTTCTCGCTTTTAAAATAACGTGTGGAGAAGACTGGGCGTGGTGGCCCGTTCCTGTAATCCCAGCCCTTGGGAGGCTGAACACAGGTGGATGACTACGAGTC